TCACGATGGTTCCCAGGGGGGCGGGGGGCGTGGATTAGGATCAACCGCGTGGAGGTCAACCTGATATGCTATCAATAAGGCCCCACCCTTATTGATAGCATATCAGATTGACCAGGTATATTAAGGGCTCCAAATGATACCATGGCAACGTTACAATTGTTCACCAAGTGGACCATCAGTTTGTTTTCCATACCGATTGCATAAAAAAAGTTATACTAAAATCTGATGACCTCGATGGTATAGCGGTTTTGCATACCGCTTTTATTCCGATGCTCGCGGGTTCGAATCCATTGCAAACATCTGTATTCAAGTACAACTATTTCCATTGATCTGGGTATTTTCTATATATATTATGTATTATTTATAAAAAGAATAAAAAATATCTAAGTTTTTATACCAATTGTCTAGTACCCATAACACACTCCCTCCACCCTCGGTGGTCTAGTGGTTTAGCACACCGCTTTACTATCCGATGGTCGTGGGTTCGATTCCTCGCACGATACTAACATTTGTATTCATGAGTATGATTGTTTGTATCGGTCTGGGTGTTTTCTATGTATAATATGTATGTATTTACAAAAAAAAATGTATCCATGTATTTATATCAGTTGTCTAGTACCCATAACATAAGCTCTGCCTAGCTTGGAACTAGATGGCGCTGTGTCAATTGTCTCGAGATATTTTTATTTTATTTATTTCAATATTATGACATATACATATGAATTAATATTATAAAATTAAGATATTGAAGTTGTCTGTGTGGTCCCGGCACTGACGACGGCAACCACGGTGGCGCCAATACAGCTTCGGCCAGCAGTCCTCCTTCATAAAGATGGGTAGCTTTTGTTTATACATTATTATTGTAGGTATCGACATCAAGAACCTCCTTTGGGGGGAAAGGGTCTTGTTCTTGTTAGTAATATGGGTCAGGTTGACCTCCACGCGGTTTCCCCTGGAAACCATTGTGACAAATTCCTTATAAATTTATTAATATGGGCTAACTGACCTGACCTCATGCTCATCTTATCATCCTCCACAGGTGCCCCGCCAGCGTAAACTGTTAGCGCAAGCGGGTGCAGCATTCCCTTATCATACTTAAAAAAAACCTTCCCTTCTGTGTTTTAACTCGACAACCCTAATTACAAAACATATTGAATTATTATGACTTACTCAAACGAATGAAATTTAAACCAGAGTTGGGTCTACCCCCACATATATTATAGTCAGGATCTCCCCTCCTTCTACATTCCATGAACTATGACGAATCATATATAATCCTATATATATATTTACATAATAAACTTATAAACCAGACGTCTGTACATTGAACAGTAAAAAAACTTCTAATGTATTTTTGGACAGAAATATTTGTCAGTATTTCTGTCTGTTCTAATCTCACAAACTGCTTAACCGATTTTTATGGTGGTTTTTTCTAATGTATTATAGCGAGGTCATAACATTTAGTCTTTCATACCAAACGGTTTAGAAAAGTAGTTTTTTTATAGTCTAGGGGACAAACGAGTTTGCGGCTCACCTGATGGTAAGTTATTACCACCGTCAGTAAGCAAACGGAACAGCACGGAAAATGCAATTATGCATTAATTTATAATATAACTAGCTGTCCCGGGAAACGTTGTTTTGCCATATAAATTAATAACGCTGTAAAAAAATAGGGGTTGATGATAGAAGGGTGAAAATTTAGGATTGTATGTATTTTTGTATGTTGAATCATAAAAAAATAGAAACTAAAAATTTTGTCTAAAAACTAAAAAATAAATTTAGGGGTGGACTACCCCTAACATTTAGGGGGATGAAAAATAGATGTTGGCCGATTTTCAGACCTGCTCAATATGCTCACAAACTTTCACGAGAATTGGTCAAGCCATTTCGTAGCAGTATGGGAACGAAAACTGTGCCACGAGAATTTTATATATAAGATAATAATATAATATTTTGATTCTACCACTCATTCGGAATGCAGATTCATCACAAGAAGAATGAGCAAGAAACTTGTGTGTTGCTCTTTTGAATAGATGATGTTAAAATTAAAAAGATCTAGCTTTGCCCGTAGTTTCACGTGCCCGTGTGTGCCCGTAGCCTACGTGTTATTCTGATATAAACTATATTGTTGTTAAGTTTCATTAAAATAGGTGACACCTGTAGTTGAGAGGACGATTGGGACTATTGTTACTTTTTGTAAGTGCCAGAGTCGGGTTATTTCTGTTTGTAATTCTTTATATTTTGTTATTTTTTCGGCTATCGTATTTTGCAGGTTGTGTGTGTTGGGGACAGCGAAATCAATCAGGTATCTGGATACCTGATTGATTTGTTGGTTTTGTTTATTAGTGTAATGTCTGGCCTATTGTAATGTGTGGTTCGATCTGTGAGAATAGCACGATCAAAGTAGAGTTTAGCTGTAGAGTTCTCTAATACGCTTTCAGGGTTGTATTTATAGTATGGTTGTAGGGAAGTAATAAAGTTGTTCTGTTCAGCAAGTTTTTGATGTATGATGTTTGCTACTTGATCGTATCTGTGTTTGTAGTCAGTTTGAACTATTGTTTTGCATGCACCTGTAATGTGTTGAATTGTTTCTGGACAGCTATTGCATTTTCTACATCAGTCTGAGGTGATGGTTTTTGTAATATGTTTTTGATAATTCCTGGTCTTGATAACTTGGTCTTGTATTGCCATCATAAAGCCTTCTGAGAATTATTATTATTCATTCATTTATTTTTTTCTCAGCTTTTGCTGGTTTTCTCCACACTTACGGGCCGAAACCAAGTAAGTGCAGACTGTGTGTGTGTGTGTGTGTGTGCGCGTGTGTGTATGTGTGAGTGTGTATGTGTGAGTGTGTATGTGTGAGTGTGTATGTGTGAGTGTGTGTGTACTTATTGTGTGCCTGGTGTAACTGGTGTTATATCCTTTTCATCTATTTCGAGAAATTTTCGGACTGTACGACAGGTATTTAAGACCCTTTTGAAGGGTGATGTAAAGTGTTTTTTGTATATCTAATTGTTTCAGGCTATGATGTAGGTGATTGGGTATGATACCTGTAGACGAGAGAACTATGGGTATTATATAAACTTTTTCCTGTTTCCAAATTCTTATTACTTCTTCCTTTAGCTCTGCATATTTATTTATTGTTTCAGCAATTGTCTTCTGGAGATTGTGGGTATATTATTATTATTATTATTATTTCTAAACTTCAAAAAATCTCATCTCCCCTCTTACGGAGAGGAGATAGCAACTTACCCCCGGCTGAAGCACAGTCGGCCGGGGTTCAGGGCCCCAGAGAGAGAAACCGGCGTACAATGCGGGCAGAATCTAACAGCACCGCTTTATGCATCTTTTTCGAGAGTGAGCCGCCCCGGAATCCCAACCGTCTGAGATGTTGTTCCAGACTGGTTGGGATAAGACCGTTCATCGATATAACGATTGGAATGATTTCGGTGGACATCACCCCCCATATTTCGGTCACCTCGTGAGCCAGGTCGAGATATTTTCTCTTTTTCTCAGTTTCGGCTTTCACGAGGTTCTCGTCATGCGGTATGGTGATGTCCACCAAAAACACCCTCGAGAGTGCCCGATCCATCACCGCGATATCAGGTTTGTTTTGTTTGTTAATTATTATTATTACATATATATATATATATCTATTATATCTCTCTTTTTACGGGGGTAATATATTCAAACACGCGGGCCTTAGCCAAGCATGGATGAGTTATGTGATGAAGATAGAAATTTTCTTACTATTCGGCATGTGTTTAGTATGACGGCTTTTTGTAATAGGTCTATTGTAGAGGAGGGGATATGCAACTAGGTGTTTGTTCAGACTTCTTGGTATAACTCCTGTGGATGACAAAACTATGGGTACTATGTGGATGGTGTGTGCTTTCCATTGTTTTTTTAATTCTATTGCTAGATCTGTGTACTTTGTTAAATTATTATTATTATTATTATTACTCACTAAAATGTCCAGACAGATGGCGGATGTGGCTCATCCGTCTAGTCTGCTCTTATCACTACGACTACTGATTTAATCTTATTGTGTATTTATATTAGACCCCAATAAATTAGTACTGGTTGGTAGTTTGTATTCACACGTTTCGAATTGTAAAATGTGAACTTACAAGGATTGTTTAAAAGAGCAACACACAAGTTTCTTGCTCGTTCTTCTCATGATGAGACAGCTTTCCGAATGAGCAGTAGATAAAAAAAATTGTTATGACTATTCAAAAGTGCTTAAATTAAGTTTATTTGAATAAATGATTTTCTATTCTATTCTATTATATACTAGTTGACCCGCGCAGTTTCGTCTCCATCACACTTACTTGACATTTATCGTTATATGTAATATTTTTTTAAATTATAATATGTGTTATTCTAATGAGCTATATTACTGTAATGTTTCATAAAAATCCGTTCAGTAGTTATTGCGTAAAGACTAACAAACATCCATTCATTCAAACTTACAAACTTTCGCGTTTATGATATTAGTAAGATGCAAAGTTTGTATTAACTACGTCGGATCGAATCCGCGACCTCCGAATGCTGAGACAATATGTTCACCCAACTATACCACCAAGGACATGTATATTTTTTTAACCTGGACAATTAACACAGCGCCATCTAGTCCCACAGTAAGCAGAGCTTGTGTTATGGGTACCAGACAACTGATATGAATACTTAGATATTTTTTTGTAAATACATACATAATATACATAGAAAACTCCCAGACCGATACAATCATACTCATGAATACAAATGTTTGGACCGTGCGAGGAATCGAACCCGCGACCATCGGATGTAAAGCGGTATGCTAAACCGCTAGTCCACCGCGGCATCATTACATTAGAACATACGTTCATTTATTTCAGTTGGTTCTCCCAACACATCCACGGATCTCTAAACACGACAATCTCGACTCCGCCCAAATGGAGGAATCCCGGCTGAATTGAATGGACTATTTAAACCGTATACCTCGGTAACATTTCATTTATTCCCATCCTGACTGTGTTCCTATAACGAACAGCATTTTATATAAATCATTACACTTTTAACCTCATGTAAGTATTATTTACCATACTAATGAAAATATTTAATTTTATATGCAAATTTATAATTTTATAAATCTTCCAAAATTTATTAAATACTATTTTGACTAATATGATATACAAATAAATTAAATATTTTTGTATTTTTATCCTAGTCTTTCTATTCTTGGATTATTTATGCATTTATTTCAATTTATAATGTAATTTCTATAAATTATAATTAATATTTATTTTTTTTTTAATTGCCCTAAATTTTATATCAAATATAATTATAAATTTATTTAGAAATTTTATTTAATTATATGTTTGCTCTTTAATATTTATTTGGAATAAATTCAACAAGTTTATATTATAATGTACATGTATAAATTTAATTTATAAACAGATTATGATTTATGATAAAACTTCATTTTGTTAGAAGTATGCACCATTTAATTAAATTTAAAATTAATTTTTATATATTTTTGTGAAAAATAAGCATTGCCTAATGATCTGAGATGATTTTAAAAAAATATATAAAATAATAAATAAAAAAATATTAATAGACTAATTATTTACTATATTTACATAAAGGGTAATTAATTTTAATATTTTGATTATTAAAAATTAAATAAAAAAAAGAGCTATAAAACTATTATTAGTATATTAAAATAGTTATAAATATTTCCGTTCATACCAGTCAAGCAATCCGTAAATAAAATTTAATTACTTATTATATAATATACATATAATATAACATAAAATACTTTAAAAATAAATCTCAATAAATAAACCTGTGAAAGAAAACAACCATAGTGCCAAGCCATTACAAAAGAAAAAAAAAGAAGTTTAAAAATAAAAACGTGGTGTTCAACCGTGCCAGTACCGAAAAATGGTAGGCACTAAAATAGTAGGAAGAATTTTTTAAATTCTCAAATTATATATATTATTTCTATTCTTTGTTATTTATTACCAGTAATATTAGTTAATATTTTTCTGCGTAATGTCATAACTTAATCTGTTAGTAAACATCGTGTACTAATCTAATAATATTAATCTTATTAGTCACTTACGAGTGTTAAATAATCCTTTATTTAATCTAAGTATAAATATGAATTTATTTTGCCTATAAAATCTAGTAATAGTACCTACCTACCTTCCTTTATTTCTTATCAATATAATAAAAATATATAGATAAACTTTAAATTTGTATATTTTTAACTTATTAATTTCAAAAAGGTACACTTTGAAAAATGTCGCCGGCATAGGTACTTACTACATCCTCTATTTATGTTATATATATACATATCTCGATTATAAGATTATTTATTTTTTTAAATATTGAAATAATGTAGATCTTGTTATATACGAAATAGTATGTCAACAATCGTGATAGATATTAAAATAGTATTTATATATGATCAGTATTAAATCTCATTAACGACCAACCATAAAAAATCACCAAGATTGGTTTGAGGACGCCATTTCACTTTCATCAGTGTAAAGATTTTCAAAAATTGCATCATTCAGACTTGTACTACAACTAACCAATGGGCAACGCTGAATTCTCCGGCAGGCACAATGACCTTCATATCATTCTACAATTGGTCATCCTATGAATTAGTTCCATTTCACGTAATATTTTTTTTATTCTATTTAGGGACATAATAAATATAATGTTTATAAACAATATATTTATACAAATTACCTGATTCATTTTATATAATTAAAATAGCGATGTCTATTCAATTTACTAATAAACGCATACATTTCTAATTTAATACAGTGAATAAATTTTGCTTAAAACAGAACGTTATCAACAACATGCCGACATGACTTTTTCATTACTGATCTTAAATTATAACCTTTATGACTACTGAATTAAAGTATAATATTGCCTGCGTATACTTGAAACTTATAACTATTGGTTAATTTAAAGAAAATATCTGTCAGAAAATGTCAAGCGAAACGAAACGCCCGCAGTTGATATTCAAGCGGCAGAATGAATGGTTTAATAATGAGTTTATCTTTTTCGTAATGGTTAGTTTTAGTGAACGCGTATTTCAATTACCCACAATGAGACACAAGTAGAATAATAAAGTGAACAAAATATCTGTGATAAGTCCATTTGAACGCGGCGCATTCCTTTTTTCTCGGTTTCACATATGTAATTTATTTCTCATCACAGTGTCGCGAAAATGTGCGATTCGGTGAAAGCTCAGAATGCTTCAGTGATGGAGAACCGTGTAGATTTAATGAAAAAACCTGGAGAAGATCTAATGAAGGCAACATCGACGGACCAGAACGGCAACGAGCAGAAAGTTGGTAAAGATCCACTTTGGATTTTCGGCTACGGTTCTTTGTGCTGGAATCCGGGTTTTGAATATCTTCAAGCAGTCAATGGTTACGTGGATGGTTTCTCCAGGAGATTTTATCAAGGGAACATCACACATCGGGGCAGCGAGTCACAGGTGAGTGAAATATGTATTTTTCAATATAACATAATAAATTTTAGGTCAGTGGACTACTTCTAATGACTCAAGTATCCCACTGAAAAGAGTCTGTAACATGATCCATTTAGGATCTGATTTTTTTTTAATCATTATATCAATATTAATAGGTTTGCACCTAATATTTGTGGCAACATCAAAATTACCTGTCAAGTTTCTTCCTAATTTTGCTCAAATGAAATAATCAGCTCAAATAGTTGAAAATATTTAATATAGATATATATTAAAATTCTTTATTTGTGAAGTATGGGTAACAAAGGGCTTAGAATAAATAATTTAGTTATTTTTTCTGCAATTACACATACAAATAAATAAAAGAAATACATTTATTAATTATATTATTTTAGGTATTACTTTTAGTCATACAGAAATTTATATCCTTCCCATACAGCTACTATTTATTTTTCATACCCTTAAGTGAAAAGGGCTGTCCACCCCTAACAATTTATTTTTATTTTTAGACAATTTTTTCTTATTTTTTATAATGTGGTTAATAAATACAAATACAAACAACCTTAAATTGTCACCCTTCTATCGTGAACCCCTATTTTTTAATAGCAATTATTTTTTAAAAACAACATCTGCGGTTTCAGCTAGTGTATATATTATATGTATATTGTCAGATGTGTGTATGTTCAGCTGTGTGGTTGGAAAATTAAATATTTAATAAGTGAATAATGTTGACTTTAAAATTTCACATTTTCTAATCTATAGATGTAAATAAAATTGGAGTGTCTGTTTGTAATATTGAAATAATCCTTTTTTACTACATGCATATGAATATAAATATGCAAAAAAATATTTTTTACAATTCTTGTTTCTTTGTCTGTCTGTCTATTTGTTCCGGCTAATCTCTGAAATGACTGGACCGATTTTGATGGAAATTTTATTGCCAGGTAGCCTAACTTTATTTTAGAAAAATTAAGGTAAATTCCACATAGACAAAGTCGCTTGTACAGCTAGTATAAAATATAACTAATCACATTATGATGATATTGCTGGTTTTGTAAGCGGTTTCCGTTGAAGATTAAGGAGCAAGGTGGCTGCAGAGAGAGAGTATGAAATTGGCTCCTCTGCCAACCCAATTAATCATATGCAGATAACATGGAGAAGGGTTATTGTTCTTCTCCCTCAGGGACGGGGGCTGCTTCCCCATCATATTACAATAATTCTGTAGTTAGTACTATACTAAAAAGTTTCAATATCAGACTAAAAATGTATATCTTATATATAAAATTCTCGTGTCACAGTTTTCATTCCCATACTCCTCCGAAACAGCTTGGCCAATTCTCATGAAATTTTGTGAGCATATTTAGTAGGTCTGAGAATCGGCCAACATCTATTTTTCTTCCCCTAAATGTTAGGGGTAGTCCACCCCTAATTTTTTTTTATTTTAAGGCAAAATAACGTTTGCTGGGACAGCTAGTATATAATCATAATATGATTTATTTATTTCTCCTCACAAACATGATAGCAACAATACACATAGTATTCTATTATAGTAAAATACTTAAATTTATTATTTTAAACAATTTACAATACATACATACATAGATGTATCTATACATATAAATAAAATTGGAGTGTCTGTTTGTAATATTGAAGTAACCTTTTTTTACTACATAGATATGAATATAAATACGGTACATACACCGAAATAACATTTTTTACAATTTTTGTCTGTCTTTTTGTTGCGGCTAATCTCTGAAATGGCTGGACCTATTTTGGTGGGACTTTTATTGGCAGGTAGCTGATGTAATAAGGAGTAACTTATGCTACTTTTATTTTAGAAAAATTAAATTAAATTCCACGCGGACGAAGTCGCGGGAACAGCAAATAACAATTGAGTCGCTTCACTCACTTTCAGGTATGGTTCGTATGACATTTTTGAGATACAAATTAGACCATACTATAATTCACTAATTAGGTGGTTGAGTTATGAGTTTACTGCTAAAGCAATAACATTAATTATAGGTATAATTATAGAACTCTGTGGTCTAGACCAGTGATTCTCAAAGTGGTCTATATCTATGACAAACTGCAAGATCTACGTTAGTGGTCAACTTGTTTTTACATTATGTTTTCACACTAAACTTTACGCAGTTTTGTTACTCTTTCACGCAAAAATAACTGAACGGATTTTGATGAAACTTTACAGTAATATAGCTTATACATCAGAATAACATATAGGCTATAATTTAGAAAGATATTATGTAAATTGGGCGATATATAATGATAAATATCAAGTGTGATGCAGAAGTTGCGCCGGTCGGCCAGTACAACCATAAAATTCGTATCATTCAACAACTCACACAAATAGATGTGTACTATGAAAAAAGTAGATTAATAGATCACTGATTGCGAATTGGAGGCTGAACTGAAAACGAGATATCCGCAAGTCAATGTAGGGTTGTCAATACTTGGAAATTTTGACCGCATACAAAAAAATCATAATCCTTAGAGATAGCAAAGTGGCCGTCCATTAATCACGTGATCTTTTTTAACCCCCCCCCCCCCCTTCCCCCACCCAGCATCACGTGTATTTTTAGTACCTACAAAGAATCTTAAAATTTTTAGAATACCATCTAAATACAGGTATAAGTAAAGTATAAACTTATTTTATTCTGAAATTAAGGACCATGATAAAAATCTAGACATTTTTATCATGGTCCTTAATTTCAGAATAAAAGGTTGCAGATCGTTTTTGATTGGCATAACATAAATACACGTGATATCTTACTACACCCCTCTAGAAGGAGGGAGCCCTTGTGATATTTCGTGATTTTTGTCCAACCTCCCCCTCTCCTTTCAAGTCTCACGTGATTAATGGATGGCCCCAAAGCGTGTATTAGTCATAAAAAAAATGCCGAAACTTAGAAAAATCATGAAACTGAAGCAGTTTATCCAATTAACAATGGAAATCAGAAAATAAATTTAATATTTTTTTTTTTTAATACTTAATTGATCACGTGACCGCGCAATTTGTTTATGCCCTCGTACCTCGTACAGACTCGTACAGAAGACTAATAAAGAAGTACCTAAAGAAGACCTAGCAACACATTTCCGATAAGAGTCGGATGGATGGTACCGACGACGCCGTTCGATTGATTGATTCGAATATAACCGTTTGCTAGCAATGTAAGGTACATTAAGTACATTCAAATTCAAATTCAAAAATCATTTATTCATGTAGGACATTTTAGCCGCTTATGAACGTCAAGGTTTTACAATAGAATTTTTTTTCCCTACCGTCCAGTTCGGTATATAGATCCAATTGAGAAGAACTGGCAAGAAACTCAATTGAATTACTTTTTTTTTAAATCCAGATTTTTACAATGTATAGGTATTTATATAGGTGTCTATGTCTAACATTAAATGAAAATCCCGAACATGAAAACTATTGCCATGCACGCTCGTCATTCAAGTAATCGTTTAGTGAGTAATAGGTCTTGCTCAGTAAATATGATTTAACAGATGTTTTGAATTTATTTAAGGGTAATTCCAATAATTATTAAGTAAGGTACGTTAAGTCTACCTTATCGCGGTCCCCCCCAAAACCTATTGTGGTTAATTCCTGGTAAATTCATCACGATGGACTAACTGACTTGACCTCATGCCCTTCGTATCATCCGCCAGCGTATACTGTTAGCGCAGGCACCACTCCATCTTACACACATTTAAAAAAAAACGACGTACCTTTGTGTTGTAATGCCCTTTAGATTTTTTTAGAACTACTTGTCTATCTATCTACTGTAAAATTATGGAATACAAAGCTTAAATAAAAAATAAACTATTGTAATGCTTTTGACCACAGCTGGCCTTTACGGCTTCACCGGACGATGGGGGGCACTCCAAATCCGCGTAAGGAATTATGGAGTGGCTGAAGGCTTGCTTGACGGATATGACTTTAGTTTGATGGAACCGCTAAGGGTTCGAACTATCCATGTATATGCAAAGATTGTCCTAAAGTATCTAGTACAAGGGCTAAAGTACCGCTAGGGCGAAACCGTACCAGCCGTCCGAATCGGAAATGTGTGGCCGGGCTAATGTCCTACCATCATACAGTTGACAACCCTGGTTCTCTGTGACATCTGAACAAACAGTAATATGTACAAATAGTCACCAATATATATTAACCGTATAACCTTATTTTATTTTTATCGGTTCATTGACCCAATCGCCAGCTACGTTTACCTTTTTGCGTCGTTTTTATTGACATATCAAGGTTTATCCTAATCCTATCTAATTGTTTGTTTGTATGTCTGTCCAGTCGATCAACTCTGGAGTCTAATTCCTTATCAAGGTACACCGTGTCACATCATTTCATATTCATGAATATAGTTATTTATTTTAAATAAACACTAGCTGTTCCTGCGACTGCGAGTGCGTGAAATTTTATTCTATTTTTCTAAAATAAAAGTAATTTAAGTTAAGCCTAAGTTACTCTTTGTTACGTCAGCTACCTGTCAATAAAAGTCCTGTCATCGGTCCAGCCATTTCAGAGATTAGCCGGAACAAACAGAAAGACAGACAGACATAAATTGTAACATATGTAATTTGGTGTATGTACCGCATTTATATTCATATGCATGTAGTGAAAAACTGTTATATCAATATTACAAACAGACACTCCAATTTTATTTATCTTTATAAAATTCTCGTGTCACAATGTTAGTTACCATACTCCTCTGAAACGGCTTGACCGATTTTTATGAAATTTTATATGCATATTCAGTAGGTCTGAGAATCAGCTACTGTCTATTTTTCATACTCATAAGTGATAAAGGTTGTCCACCCCTAACATTATTTTTTTATTTTTTGTGCAAAATTTTTAATTTATATTTTTTTATGTGTCATTAAAAAAATACATGCAACCCTAAATTTTTACCCTTCTATTACCAACCCCTATTTTTTTATAGCGTTATTAATACACGGCAAAACAACGTTTGCCGGGACAGCTAGTTAGTAAGATAAAAAGATACTCAACTTCGAGAAATCCATATTAAAATACTTACTGGAACTGTGTTATTCTGCCCATAGAATGTTATCAGAGTATAAAATAACGACAAAACTGCAGACGGTACAGCGTGAACAATAGCTATTACAAACTAAAACAAATTGAAATATTTTCTGTATAAAACATACGTATTTATATATTAACTAATTTTTGCCCGCGGCTTCGCTCGCGTTAATTTATCCCCTTAGGGGTGGAATTTATCAAAATCCTTTCTTAGGGGATGCCTATATGACAATACTAACGTTTGCCGGGACAGCTAGTATGTATAAATTATTGAATTTTATCCAATAGGTGGGCTTAATGCTCAAATATCTTAAGCTCTACCAGATATTCTTAGGCCGAGCAGAGATATTAACTTATGTATATATCTTTATGTACGTATGTAACGTTATATAGCCGGTCTATTAACTGATATCTGTTATCAGAATTGATTTTAAATGGTTAAATCAATTTAGTATAGTATATTTATCTTGCTTTTGCGCCAGTTATAGAAAAGTTGCGAGGTAACAGATTGAGCTGGTATGGGCATGTTATGTGGAGGAACGAGGATCATGTGTTATGGAAAGTGTATAATATGAATGTGGATGGATGGAAAGAGAGAGGACGCCCTAAGAAAAGATGGATGGATTGTGTGAAAGATGATATAAATAAGAGTATGCTCAGGTATGACGGCCGATAGAGAGCAGTGGAAGAGAATGACATACTGCGCCGACCACAAATCTAAATATATATAACTCAAAGGTGACTGACATAGTGATCTATCAACGCACAGCCCAAACCACTGGACGGATCGGGCTGAAATTTGGCATGCAGGTAGATGTTGTGACATAGGCATCCGCTAAGAAAGGATTTTGATTAATTCTACCCCCAAAGGCATGAAAGTTTGTATGTAATTTTGTCAATTTTAAACCGATTGGGCTGATACGCGATCGAGCAAAAGCTAGTAATGGTAAAGCAAAGCAATGATAATGATGATGATGATGATGATGTTTATCTTTCCTTTATTTTGTTTCAGCCTGGCCGTGTAGCAACACTAGTAGAAGACAAGGAAGTAAGGAATAGTCATATTATATTTATTATTACATAGTATAAAATAAAGTCGCTGTCGCTGTCTGTCCCTATGTATCTTTAAAACTACGCAACGGATTTTGAAGCGGTGTTTTTAATAGATAGAGTGATTCAAGAGGAAGGTTTATATGTATAATACATGTACACCCGTGCGAAACCGGGGCGAGCAACTAGTCATTACATAATATAAAACAAAGTGGCTGTCTGTCCGTCCCTATGTATGCTTATATCTTTAAAACTACGCAACGGATTTTGAAGTTGTTTTTTTAATAGATAGAGTGATTCAAGAGGAAGTTTTATATGTATAATACATGTAAACCCGTGCGAAGCCGGGGCGAGTAGCTAGTGTAGTATAAAACAAAGTAGACGCCGCTGTCTGTTCGCTTATATGTTTTAACTACGCAACGGATTGTAATGCAGTTTGCAGCAATCGATAGAGTGATTAAAGAGGAAGATTTATATGTATAATACATGCGTGTTATAGTATAGAATTAGCCGAGAGATTCAAAGGTTTGTAATGCATACATGGCGAAGCCAGGACAGATGGCTAGTAATATCATATATTCACTATGACCTACTACTCCCAATTAGAACATATCAAAGTTTGTGAGTTCGTATTCAGTCGACAAAAAAAGACATTGTGTCTATTTATATTTTTGACTGATTCCTCACTAATAGAAACACTATTAACAAAACCAAATTATTCCAAATTAAATACACATAATTCATAAACAGAAAAATAAATCAAAACCAAAAACTAATTACATCAAACAAAGTGTTATAGAAATTCAAATCAGCGATTATTACTAAAATATTCGACTTTAATATACATTATTTATATCGTTAACTGGGTCTTAATAATTAATAATTGTATGGTACATTTACCTTTTTGCTATATAAATATTAAATAAAAACTCTACATAATTCACCGGATCTTAACACGAATAATTTTATGGCACTAGCCGTTGTCTCAAGACGAAGGTTTACGACCAGTGGCGCCAGTGATGACTTACGGAACAGAGACGTGGTCGCTAACTATGGGCCCCATCAACAAGCTCAGAGACACTCAGAGGGCAATGGAGAGGGCTACGCTCGGAGTTACTCTGCGTGATCGAATCAGAAATGAGGAGATCCGCAGAAGAACCAGAGTGACCGACATAGCCCGAAGAATTGCGACTCTGAAGTGGCAATGGGCAGGGCACATAGCTCGTAGGACAGATGGCCGTTGGGGCAGTAAAGTCCTCGAGTGGCGACCACGAACCGGAAGACGCAGCGTGGGAAGGCCTCCAGCAAGGTAGACCGACGATCTGGTCAAGATCGCTGGAAGGCATTGGATACGAGCAGCGCAGGACCGATCGTCGTGGAGATTTTTGGGGGAGGCCTATGTCCAGCAGTGGACGTCTTCCGAGCTGCGATGATGATGATGATGAGCCGTGGTCACGAGCTGACTGAAGTAACAGCTAGTGACCACGGTATAACACCCGGTTAATAATATAAAGTTTCTATTTAATATTTATATAGCAAAAAGGTAAATGTACCATACAATTATTAATTATTAAGACCCAGTTAACGATATAAATAATGTATATTAAAGACGAATATTTTAATAATAATCACTGATTTGAATTTCTTTGTTTTGATGTAATTAAATTTTTAATTATTAAGACCCGGTAATAATAAAAAAAAACCACTTCAAAAAACAAAAAACCGAGATCATCCTCGGCAAATGACAGCATAGACGGGAAGCGCAAACTCAAATGAATCCTAATTTACACGTTGCTTAAACACATACCTCTAACCACCCAATCTCCGATAACAGTCGTGCATATAGTTTTATTACTTTATTTTCTAAAAAAAAAACTAAAATAAAGGGAGTAACTTAGGCTAAGTTACTCCTTATTACTTTAGCTACCTGCCAAAAAAAGTCCCATCAAAATCGGTCCAGCCATTTCAGAAATTAGCTGGTACAATCAGACCGACAGACGACAATTGTAAAAAAAATATTTTGGTGTAGTAATCCTAATTTACACGTTGCTTAAACACATACCTCTAACCACCCAATCTCCGATAACAGTCGTGCATATAGTTTTATTACTTTATTTTCTAAAAAAAATCTTAAATAAAAGGAGTAACTTAGGCTAAGTTACTCCTTATTACATTAACTACCTGCCAAAAAAAGTTCCGTCAAAATAGGTCCAGCCATTTCAGAAATTAGCTGGTACAAACAGACCGACAGACGACAATTGTAAAAAATGTTATTTTGGTATAAGTACCGTATTTATATTCATATAAATGTAGTAAAAAACGCTTATTTCAATATTACAAACAGATACTCCAATTTTATTTATATGTATATATATTATTTCTCATTTAATACAAGAATGGAAGAACACCGGTAGGAAGCAACTAATAATACTATCATAATTGTATATGTACGTGAAATATTTATTTCCGTACATAGTTAGACGGCCGTGACTACTTCGAGTTAAAAACATTACGATTTTTTTATTCACACTAAAATAGATAACCTTATAATTATCACCAATATTGTTGTCGTTTTATTTTTAAGGAAACTGATAAGTTATTATAATGAACCTGTATAATGTACAGGTTCATTTTGACTAACAGTCAAAATAATGTACAGGTTCAGGAAAGGTTTTTCTATATTTGTGTTATGTACTTCGATGTTAATCATTACATAGTATAAAATAAAGTCGCCGTCCCTGTCTGTCCGTCCGTATGTATGCTTAAATCTTTAAAACTACGCAACGGATTTTGAAGAGGTTTTTTTAATAGATAGACTGATTCAAGAGGAAGGTTTATATGTATAATACATGTACACACGTGCAAAACCGGGGCGAGTAGCTGATAAGCTAGTACTATAATAAATAGTGCCTGTTGATGTCGTAGATTATTTTGACTAACAGTAGAAACAGGAAAGGTTTTTCTATATTTGTGTTGTTGGTATGTTAATAATATAAGAATCAAAATTTCTTTCTTTCTTTCTCTCTTTCTTTCTTTTTTTCTTTCTTTCTTTTTTTCATTCATAATATGTAGTGCCTGCTGATGTCGTATCCGTCAGGCGGGAGTTGGCCTTCAGCCGCTCCATAAGTCCTTCCTTTGGTTTGGAGTCCCATCTGCACTCGCCCCTTATCATTCGGGTGAAAATGTAGAGGCCAGATGCGGTCAAAAGCATTATAGTTTTATTTACTAGGTCACCAACATGGTTTATATCAACATAATCCCCAAGTATCGTTTAGAAAAAGTTAATAGGTCTTTTATGGGAATAGGTATAAAAACTTACAATAAGATACCAAAGGATATGTTGGAATTACCCTTAAATAAATTCAAAACATCTGTTAAATCATATTTACTGAGCAAAGCCTCGCTGTACAGTCCGTTTGTTACTAGTTAAGGGAGGGGCAGGGAAAGCCGCGGGAACACAAACTAACGGGCTCTAATATAATAATCTGTGCTTACGATGATACAAGGTAGATTTTGAACAATCTGGTTATTTATACAATAATAATAATAAATACTATCAAAACTCTCTATGAAATAAAGTAATCAAAAAAGAGGTACATTTTGGATTGTATTCATTACACGCATAAATTAAATTACTGTAAAATTAGTGTGACTTCTGTTGCTGCAGGTTAGATGACCAATAATTTGTCAGGCTTGTACGATGTTACTTTTAGCAAAATGCATGCTGAACTGGATTCATCTGTCGAACGGTTTCTAACAGGGTTTTTAATGTTATTCATCTCTGAAAATAATGACTCGCAGGCATAGGTAGGTGGAAATATTGTTAAAATAGCATGAGCCAGCTTCTTCAAACAGTTTTATGATCGACGACGTGCCCAAAATATTGTGTCGCGTGCCGTCAATGGTACGCGTGCCATTGGTTCGCTAACCCTGCTTTAGACTATTTCTGTACCAAATTTCATTTAATTCGGTTTAATAGTTTAAGTGTGAAAGCGTAACAGACTTTCGCATTTGTAATATTAGTAAGAAATTGCCATTCAATTTCATTTAAAAAAAATGATTATTAATTTAAATTACATTATAACGTATTTAAAATCTTTTTTTTTAATATTTCATATTAAAATTCTCTCGCTGTAGAATTTTCACGGAAAACTTCAAAATCAGAAAGAACCTTGGTGAATTATCGATAGTTAGTAATCGATTAGCTTTTGTTCTCGATTCCGACATTGGAATTACAACTCGTTTACCAATATAATTTCATCATTGCTATTGTACTAATTATTTTGTCATTTCACAATCAGTTGTGACTTCGGCGTCCTTTATTTCATCAGCGGCTCATTTCTATTAGGTTTAATCAATGTTAACTATGACCGTGACGTTTGGTTGGGTTTAAGTGGTTTAGGTTGACGGCCTATGTGGTTTAGCGGTTAAGACATAGCCTTACTTCCGATGAGTGCGGATTCAATTTCTTGCGCAGTAAAAACGCTTGCATTCATGAATTTTTAAGTGTAAATTGACTGTATCACGAGGATTTTTTTGTGGATGATAATGATATGGTGCCTGCGCTAACGGTTTACGCTGGCGGGGCACAAGTGGAGGATGATAAGATGAGCATGAGGTCAGGCAGTTAGCCCATTGTGACAAATTCATTAAAAATGTATCACGATGGTTTCCAGGAGGAACCGCGAGGAGGTCGACCTAACATGGTACATTGCTAGCAATAGGCATTACTAGTTTTCTTTACTTACAATACCCTTCCCCCCTATACTCATGTGTAAGATAGTGGATAGTATATAATACAAACAATATTGGTCTGCGAGTTTCCTATGTAGTTATATGTTATACCACCATACAACCAAGACCGTTCAGTCAAGAGTATGCAGACAATTCTTACTAGTATTATAAATGCGAAAGTAACTCTGTCTAGACAGACAGAGTTACAGAGTGAAAGCGAGACAGACAGACAGAAGTCTGTCTGTCTGTCTCGCTTTCACACCG